CATTCAAGTGTATTCCACTTTCTAATGATTCCCTAAGAGTGGCAAGTATTCAAATATTGAGAGCGTTCTTTAAGATAAAGGTATATGTGTCCTTTTATTCAATATTATTATCCTTCATAATCTAGTCAATGATGCCTTTTCTGTTGCAATATGTGTTGAACCTCACCCCTTGCTAACTTCAAGTGATATATTTACTATTTACTAGGATCCACTTCCAAAATAACTTGCCTCTGGAAACTCGATGAACTTGGAGAAATGATGAAAGTTGTATTAAGTGTTCAGGTCTTTCGTTTATAGGGTTGCTATGAGTTGTCTAGCAACATTTAACAAGAAAGAACAACAACAACAACAACAAGGTATAATGTAATGTAAATGTTAAGTGAGAAACAGCTGTTGTTCTAAGAGGGGCTCACAAATAAATTAGGCCTCAACCAAATTATACTCAATGGTGTCACTGATAATTATGATAAACATAAACCTTTCTGATAATTATGATAAACATAAACCTTTCTGTACTTTATTTAGTGATTTGGATAAATAAAAAATGTATATCAAACATTTGTTCCACATATCAATAAATATAAGATTCTGCATATGAAAACAAAAATACAAGGATTTAAGGGAAAATTCTGGTGCAAAGTCTGATATTTAAGAAGTGGCTCTCCTTTTATCACTTCAATGTATTGTTAATATGTAAATCTATGATGTCAATTTAGTGGTTTATTTTTTAACTGTTTATGCTATTTATTCATTTTTGTTGTTGCCTATTCCTTCCCCTAATTTTACTTCCCCACACCCTTAATTCTTAGACAAATAATAGGAAAATACTAGGTACCGGCACTATTTTTTTTAAATATAGTATATATTTATACAAATTTTAAATATATACAGTATCTAGAGATCATGCATTTGTATGTATATTGCAAATATTTTAATCTTTTTTTATTCTTTACCTAACCTCTCATCTCTGTTAATTTTCCAGGACTGATGCTTTTGAAGATTATATCTAATTGGTGGTTTCCACAAAGACTGATTTTACAAAATTCTTGTCCTGGTTTAGGGGTAGTGTATATTTATTAGATAGAGAGCACTGGTAGCCTAGTGACAAGAAGCTGTGCTGCAATCCTCAAGGCACACGGTTTGAATTCACCAGCTGCTCTACAGGAGAAGGATGAGCAATCTCCTCCCGGGTGATTAACTGCCTCTGAAAACCTGCTGGAGAGTCAGCTACGGGTCTGTTCTGACTCAATAATACACAATAACAACAACATATTTTTCAAAAATAAAGATACTGCTGTTGAGTCAATTCCAACTCACAACCACATCTAGGACAGAAAAAAAAAACCCTACCCATGAGGTTTCCAAGGCAAGAAATCTTTCTAGAGTAGACTGACACCTCTTCCTCCCACTGAGAAAGGGAGGCTAATGAGTTCCTATGCAGACCTTTGAGTTAGAGCTTACAGGATGAGCAGCCTTCTTCAGCACCCTTAAGACGTGCATAAATTGCCTCTGATAGACAAGGTTTGGATTCTGATACCTCATATAAGAAATGGCTTTCTAAAACAAGCACAGAGAACTAGACTGAAAAGCAATCTATCAACATCAGCAATCCACCAGAATTATGACAGAAGTCTAGGAAACAGTAAAACAAGCTAGATGTTACTTTTGCTTGAGAGAACATGTTTTGTACCAAAATGAGAAGGAAGAACAGAGAGCAAAGAAAATTTTCCCTTCCTTGAAAGAATGTGATGAGTGATGTAAGTGGTTATTTCTTTGGATAGTAAGCCTCTACAGAAATCCTCTGTCCAAAGTTTTAAGTTTTGACATCTGTTTAGCTCACGTGGCAAAAAAATAATTTCCCCTTCACAGTCCACGTTCTAGGCTCTGTCACCTTTGATTCAATTAATGTTTGTTGAAGGTCTATCTGAAACTGGACACTTATAGAAACCCAGTATCATCACCTTAACAGGCATATTTTAAAATTTATGGATGAGAACGCAGTTTGCCTCCTTGGCTTTGACTGTACACTTACAGTTATACAATATGGAGTGAAATGTTTCACATGATATATTTATTAACACAGACCAAATAGCATGTCTGTCATATGTGTTCACTTAAAAAATACAGGACTATGGGTTAATGTGGCAACAAAATGCTCTCTATTGGTCCTTGGCTAGCACAGACTTTTTTTTGGTGATGGCCAAAGAAATGAGTTTTCATTGGTATATGTTTTATTGTCTTTATGCTTAAGGGCAAATATGGTTATATTTAGCAGATATACAATCTTATTTTGGCTCTCCAAAGGAAAATTTCTCCAACTAACTCTTGCTTTTAATATTCAAAACTCTTAGAATCAGAGTGAAGTCAAACAGAAATTTCAGACAACCAAAGCAATGTTTGGCTTATGAATTATAACTTTGTATAAATTATTGTGCATTTTAAGATCTACTGTTCTATAAAGACCTCTCGTGGTATAGTGTGTTCCATGTTACACTACTCAGTGAGTCGTTCCAGTCCACAAGATGCACTTCAAGAGAAACATGAGCAGAGGGTTGCTATGCGCCACAATGAGCTTGACAGCAGTGGTATTTTTTGTTGTTATTTATGTATGTTAGTCCACACCATATACAGTTCCAGCGGCACTGTAGTTTAATCTTTGGCTGGTAAGTAGAGAGTTGGCTGCAGGAACACATCAGATGTGGCAATCTGCATCCACAAAGATTTGTGTCCTGGTAACCTGATGAGGCAGTTATATTCTGTTCTACAGGCTCCTGAAGCATCCGAATCAATTCAATGACAAAGGATTTGTTCTACAACATTCTAAATTAGTGAACAGAGAACGAAGAATGCGAGAAACTTTGTAAATGTATGCCTTCCCATTGAAGACATACAGTTCAGTTGTTTTTATGTTGTTGCCTTTCATCAGTTCTAACTTGCTACGGCTCCACAAGATGTTCAAAGCTGCGCTTTTCAAAGCAGATTGTGGGCCTGTCTTCCGGAAAGCCCCCAGACAGATTTCTAAATATTTAGGTTGAGAACCCTCAACCTTTGGGTTAGCAGCTGAGTGCTTGATAGTTTATAACTAATATTTTATGGTAAAGAGGTTTTTTTAACCTATTTTCATTTGTTATTTTTTTAAAAAGTAATACCACCTTGTCCTCTATGAATATAGTCAAAGAATCAAAAGTCTCAGTGTCCTCAGAATTCCTGAGACTAATGTTAAGAGAAAAAGAGATCATTAGAGTACAAAATAGGGTTCTGTACAGTAGAAACACTTGGGCTTGATATAAGTTTCTGTTCACTTTACAATTTTGCTAATAATTTATATAAACTGAGGTACTTATTGTTTGTTGTTGTTGTTGTTATGTGCTGTCAAGTCGTTTGCGACTCATAGCGACCTTATGCACAATAGCCCTAAACCCTGCTCTATCCTGCGCCAACCGCACTGCCTCTGACATATCCATCCCGATTACCCCAGCCACCGAATCAATCCATCTCATAGAGGGTCTTCCCCTCCTGCGTTGTCCCTCCACCCTCCCAAGCATGATGTCCCTCTCCAAGGACCCGTCCCTCCTGGCAACATGTCCAAAGTATGCAACAGTGTCTCTCTGGAGACTAAGGTACTTATTGTATACAAGTAAAATATGTTAAAGTCCAAAAACCTACTGTGTAGACCAAAGGAGATAGTATTAATATTAAAAGTCAAACTAAATTATATATATTTCTAAAAGGGAGGAAAAAGTGACCTATTTATAATTGTTAAAAAGTAATTTCACTGGGAATAAAATAGGATTTATCTAAGCCTGAGGTGTGTATTAAAAAAGAGACACATACACAAAAGAAATTATGGTAAGAAAGAATGGTTTTGTAATACGTTGGAATGAGTTCACCCAACTTTTTGCCCACATTTTTGCCTTTATAAGTATAATTGCAGCTGAACAGTCAGTAGGATGTGTGGTAGTTTATCTTCTCCAAGGGCATTACTCACCTTCAGGTCCCGATGGACTACGCCCATCTGATGGCAGTGTAGCACAGCCTCCAGGATCTGCTGAATGCAATGACTGCATGCAAACACCAGGGGGCGTGTGTTAGTTCCAAGCTTACACTCACTGTCTGTATACCCTCAGAGAGACTGGGTTAATGTGCAAAACCAGCAGACAACTGGGGATGTACTTTACCACCTCCAGTGATGCAAACACATTGCTCAAGCAGAGTGACTACTACCTCAGATCAAGATCTTGCCAGACGAGCGCCAGAATGCGGGCTCAGCTCATTCTAGAACAACCCATTGTGAAAATATTTTAATTCAGGACACAATTTCCTAGCTATAAATCCTTGCAGGAAATGGACAGGAACACAAATATTAGATGGTTGTGCTTCTTCACATCACACCCCCAGCAACAACAATGAAACATGATTCTCTACTCTATCCCTCTTTCCATCTTCATTCCAAACACTGTCACATTGGCAGTCAAGGTGCCATTAAGGTGAAATTAGGATACGTAATGAATTTTTGATAAATCATTAACTTCTTGTGCTTTAATTTAGCTGGCAATTATTATCTCTTGCCTGAGGGTTCATCAGACTCAAATGGAGCAATGTGTAACCAGTTGTTCTGCTACAGCAACCCATGGTCTCAGCACAGAAGTGGTGTTTAAATCTACAGGCGGACATACATCACAGGCCATGTTTCTGTCCAGGCAAATGCTGGGTAATTCAGAAATGCCTGCCCCCAAACCGCCGCTGGTGTTTTACTGCTTGGAACCTTAACAGGTTGTGTTTTAAATCCTGACTTTCCCTTTGTGCTATGATGTATATGTAGCCTGTAGATGAGCAAACTCAAAGAGGCATCATGCATTATCATTTCAGTATTTAGTAGTCTTATGAAAAAGTGGAAAAAAGCAAGGGAACCATTTTAAATACCCACCCTCAGCCCTTTTCCCAGACTAACACAAAACAAAAACTCCTTTGATTCAGATTTATGGACTCCATATACTGACCTTCAGGTCCCTGTGAACTATGCCATTTAGGTGACAATGATTTACACTTTCTAGAATCTGCTGTATACAATGACTGTAAAAATACAAGGGCAGAATGGAAGGGAGAACATTTTAAAGGCACATAATCACATTGGATATAAAATAAAATGAGAGTTCAAACAAAACAAACAAACAAACAAAAATTCTATTTTTCACATTTTTTTTAGCTTTACACTGGAAGAAAATAATACTGAATAAAGCTAATTCTGGTTCTAACAAAAATGACATATAACATAGAATTTGTGACATGTTCAGATAAAACAATTTGAGTTGTGTTTTTTTTCCCCATTACAAAGCTACAAATTAAATAGTATGCATAAAGAAGTTGAAATGTCCATATACAAGGAGGAAAAATGGGTCAATAATTCTCTGAAAAAAGGTTTTCAAAGTGATAAAATTTGCAGATATTTCTCATACACATCTAAACTGTTTAAAATCTGAGGTCACAATCAAACATAGGTGCTGAAACAAAAGGGTAAATAAACACAGATGAAGGGGCAGGTGAAACAAGGGTTAAATAAATGGCAGGAAACATTTACCAGTTTGACTTAGAAGTGATGCTTCTTATATATTAATGATAATCCTCTGGTAACAGAGGAAGAATTTAAAATAAATTTATTACATAAAACAAACCCCTCTTCAGAAAAAAAACAATATTCTGGGGAAGGGCTAGAAGTTTTGTGAAAAAGAAATGATATTTAAAAATCCTCTAGAGCACTGGTAATTGTTTAACAAATTTCCATTTATCTCAAGTGAGGAGAATCTTTGCCTATTACTATGTCAAATGCATTAACTTTGACTATTTTTTTTAAAGGTGCACTGATGTCAAGTAGAGTGTTAATTAGAGGGAAAAATCATTGATTGGCACCTCTAAGGTCCCATAAGCTGTCATCTGACAGACATTATTATATAATAGATCACATCGATGAATTTTTAACAAGTTTATTGTGCAATTCGGGTTCAGATACACACAGAAACACAGGCCTTCACTGAAGGGTCAAGCAGCCATTTTAATAAGGACATGTTCCACCATTAAAGGTGCAAAACAATATTCTTCCCTAGTAAATCCATGATTTTAAAAAGTAACTATGATTTATGGCAGTATTAATGTCACAGTAGTGATGACTCTATCCAGCTATAACTCGATGGACAGCATTACCATGCAGCCTCATAGTGATTTTTTTGGACTGAATTTCTTATTCAAGTGTTAGTAATCACCGTTTAAATCCTCTTTTCCCCCCGCCTATAACAACCATTATTTTTTTCCTAGGATTTTTTTTTAAATATTTCTCTTTTTTTTTCCTGAAAGAACAAACCCAAGTTATTGGGCCTCAGGAATAAGAGAAATAGAACCGCAAGCAATAATTCATATTCCACAAACTTTGGCATCTTTCTTTGTCAGTAGTGACGAAGGATTAATGTCTCAACTTCTCAAGGACTGATGAGAACACTGACATTAAGAAATTATGTGTGGAAGATTCACTGTATGCTTGCAGTTCAGAAGAAAATGTTTCTTCTTGTTTTTATGTGGGACTATGATAAAATATATCCTATGATTAAACCCCCAGCTCATCAGAAATAAACATATTAAACACGACAGGAGCTTTAAAGCCCTATCCTTCAGGGCTCTTTAACAGTGAAAGCAGCCTTTATTTTCATTTCAATCAACAATCTTCCAACATCAGGAGACTCAGTTTAAGGTAATTTTGAAAGGTAAAATAGAAATTACAATCCTCTAACTTGTTTTACTGCCATGATCAAAACGATGACTCTTTCTTGGCAGGTGGACAAATAGCTCCTTTGAAGGCTTCTCCGGAACCCCCTTATAGAGGGCTAACATAAGGATTTAAGGTTAAATGGAACAGCTGAGGACTTGCTTATTAGCGTGTAAGGAGCATGGAGTCTTTTATTTGCCTTTTGCAGTAAAACTTCCATTACACATTAGCGTGTAGTCGTGAACAGATAGATTCACAGAATGTCATAAACAATGTCATTAAACCACGAAAGTAAATTAGAAATATGGAAGTGTGCCTCTGTATGCATGCACTGGGGACTGAGGTGGGAAGCCGCAAGCTCAGCAGTGAATTTGGCAAGCCTTCAGAAGTTCTGAGAGCATTAGAGATTTAGGGCACACAGTCAATAACTGAATTTTTATAACATTTCGTTTACACTGCTAATAACAAGCAGTCCGCCTTATACCCAGATTTTTCATAATAAGTGCCAACGATAGACTGTATAGAGACCCCTCGGTGTTACAAATGGCTTATGAGCTTGGCTGCTAATCAAAAGGTTTGGTGAGAAAAAAGAAAAGTCCTGCTGATCTAATTCTAAAAAGATCAGCTCTTGTAGCTCTGTGAAGGGTATTCTATTCTGAAATACATGAGGTTGCCATGAGATGGACTCAATAGCATTTTAGATTTTCTTTTTTTCCAAAATGGAATGCATGTTATAAGGAATGCTAAGGAAAATGAGAATCATAATCCTTAAGTAATATGCAAGCAAATGGAGTAACGCTCCACTGCTGTCGAGGTGATTCTGACCGCCCCACAGTCTGTTAACCTGTACACAAGCTGACTGCCACAGCTTTCCCCAGCCACAGGGGCGCTGCTCCAACGACCTTCCAGTCAGCAGCTCAGCACTTTAACCATCACACCACCGGGGCACCTGGTGGACAATTCACTCCAAAAACACTGCCTTCGTGGAATCTAGGAAGTTTCAATTAAGACAAAAAACTAGCCTGCTTCAACTCTGGCGACGATTATGCCAATAAATGAGATTGGTAAACCTCTCTGTCAAACCTCTGATGTACATGAATAAATACTTTTCAAAGCAGACCTCTAATGGCGTTAATGAATTCTCCAAAGAATTAACATTGATAATAATGCTATAAGGAGACCACTGAACATTGTTTTTTTAAAATCTATATTCTTTTATATAGTCTTTGATTAGACAATTGGAGTTCAATAAACCTTTCTGTCCATAATGATGGAAAGTTTTGAATCTGCTCTGCCCAATTAGTGATCATGAGCCACTCATGGCTATTAACCACCTGAAATGTGGCTAGCTCCACTTCCTCAATTAAAATGTAATTTACAGTTTTAATTAACTTATACTTAAAGTAAAATAGCCATATATGAGTCAGAGCTACCACCCAAAGCAAAGCAGGATAAGAAATCTTTGCTTTTTGTCTAAAAACGTTATTAGTAGAAGTTGATTGTTAAGCTTTCTTCTTTCCCTTCTTATTTAAAAAGAAGACAATAAAAATCTAAAAGCTAGTTAAAATAAAGTTTAGACCATATTTACTGATCTCCCCTCAGAAGAATCATGAAGATCCTGGGGGTGGGGCGAATACCAAATTAAGATGGACTTATCATGAAAAGAATTCCAAGATTACCGCATGAAGAGACTTCTTTAAGTGCTAAAGTGCCAAGATTCATTTGTAAATGAATGCACTGACCAAACAAGTGCCAACCAATTGTTGCGGTGAGTGTCTTCTCCAGGGCAAGTCACTTACCTGGCATCAGCTTCACTGTAATACTCCCTTGCCACTATATCTTCAAACAGTTCACCTCCAGTGACTCTGTCAAGACACACAGACAAGGTTTCCTCATTAAAGAAAGAAACGCAAACTAGGTATTGTTAGACTTGCAGTGATTATTGTCAGGTATCAGGGAGGAGAACCACTCCCTGGAATTTTCAGGCCTTTGTCCTTCCAGACGCAGGATCTCAGATCATCTTTCAAGGGAACTCTGAAAATCACCATTTTGGCTAGTACACAAATGTTTAACCATTCTCATGACTTCTGCCCCAATTCTATTCTCTCAAATGCACTGATAATAACAATTCCATGTACATGTACCCTTTCAACTTTTATATGTCGTTATCTTTACCCCTGTCCAGTCTTCTCTTTGCAAACACACAAAAATACTTTTCTCACAAAACTCAGAGCACGCAAGAGAAATGTCTAGTAATTTTGAAGTTGACCCTCCAATGAGTTTCCAACGTTTGTAAACTGCACCAGAGGAGACTATGCTGTTTTAAACTGCACCAGAGGAGACTATGCTGCTTTCTCCTATGGAGTTGCCTTTGAAGGACTGTGGCCTATGGATTAGCAACACAACTCCTATATGCACTGTGCTCCCCTCTAATCTAGTGCTTCTAGAAAATAAATACTACAAGTGAGTAGCTTCAACAAGTGCAGTCTAGTCTCTTGCAGTTTGAAGTATAGAAGTCCAAATTTAGAGTACTGGTTCTATAGAGAGGTTTTCTGTCACTATGGAACTGGGAGAAAAGTCTTGTCTTTAAACATCGGTGAGCCTGGAGCTGGTCACAACTCACCCGAGATAGATTTGCTTATTCTTTTGGCAGTCCATGATACATTCAGTCCTCTTTGCTAACACCATAATTCAATTTCAGACTGCAGATTTTTCTGAAAGTTTATGCAACTTTTCTTTCCCTCTCCATTATGTTCTGGATACAAATAAAATATTGGAGTCTTTCTTTCCAATCCTGTTGCTCTCCATGGAAGAAGGATGGACAATCTCCTCCCATCTGATTAGCTGCCTCTGAAAACGTATCAAAGGGTGAGCTATGGGTCAACTCTGACTCTATGGTATGCAATAATTGTTTATATGGGAGTTTTAGTGGCTTTTTGGTAAGGAACTGCACTGCCAATACAAAGGTGGAAAATCTCTAACGTGATTCCTTGCCTCTGAAAATCCACTGGAGGGTCAGCTAAACGTTGGTTCTGACTCGGTGACGCATCACCATCAACACTGGTTTTATACATAAAATGTATATTTATAATCAGTCAATTAAAATTTCAATTGGATTTATGCTGAAAATGTCATATTTTGTGGGATTTCATATTTTGTGTGACAAATGTAGAACCAATATATTATATATTAGTATTTATCTTTTTTATTCAGAGAAATCCCTTAAAACCTAAACAGCATAAAATTTCTTGATAAACATTTAACACACATTTATTAAAAAGTTAAGTGTTATTCATAAAACTATGACTATTTATTAAACTGATTGTTTATTAAGTAACAATTGCCAGGCCCTGGACAGCTGAGAACTTGACTTTCTCTTGTATTATACTAGCATCAATTATAACATCTAACACATGATATAGGCTCAATCAGTGACTGCTGAAATATCATTAAGTAAAAAAGTCAGAAAATCATACTATGCAAAAAATAGCGAAGTTTAACTATGTATAGAATTAGGTCTAAAGAGTTTTGTATCATTATTTTAATATTTGCTTATAGTTTTATTGTTGTTGCTGTTGTTAAGTGCCATTGAGTTGAGGGGGATAAAATTTATATACAGTGTGATGAATAAATCTTAAATGTACCATCTAGAGAGATGTGACAAATGCATATACTTCCTGTAACAGAATTCTTTCTCAAGATACAGAATTTTATAATTGCCAAATATGTTCTCTCAGGTTGATTACAAGTCAATTCCTGACCTATATCTTTTAGAAACAATGCATTTAGTGATGTTTTTCCTCTGTATGGTAGTTGTGACTGTGCTGGAAATCTTTGTATAAGAGAACTCAGGGATAACAGAGTTGGGCTAACTAATGTCTATGGAAAAAATTAGTCTATGACTTGTTTTTCCTACAGATCATGAATGAAAATTATTTTTCCATTTTAAAAGAGTTGTCTGGAAAATGAACAAAGAAGAATACGCAACAGAAAGTATATGCAGCCCAGACTACCCAGCCTTTCATAGAACAACTTTGCAGACAATGGGTATAAAATGTCTTCTGACAGCATGGTTTTGTTCACTCAGCAGGTTTTTATAGTTATATTTGGGTTATTGATTGTGTGGATAGTATTTTGTTTAGCTACTAACTGCTCAGTGGCTTGGATCCATCAGCCACTCCTGGGGAGAAAAGCTGTGGCAATCTGCTAGGAAGATCTCTGGGGCAAGTCCCATTGTGACTCATGAGCCAACAACAATTCCATTGTATGGATATACTATAGTCTTTTTAGCCATTATCCTGTTGGAGACACTTTGGCCTTATTTTTAAAAGGGTTTATATTTAAAGAAGAATAATAAAAAGTCAGGAGAGGTTAGCATCTGGTAATTTTGAAAGAAAAAAAGTAGCTATTAAGCAGAGTACATGGAGTTTCATGTTAAGTTTTGGATTATGTAGTTTATCCTTGGAAACACTCATCCAGTTTCTGGCATTTATTCCTCTCATTATTTTAAAAAAAAATCTATGAAAAGGAGAAAGCTTCATCCTTTAAGCCATGTACATAATAAGTGTCTGGGATTTGAGAAATGAATTTGGAATACAGACTATCACTTTAAAAGAGAAATGACTGAAATTATCAACTTTTACTATATTTTCATACTCACAGTATTGTTCAACAGAGCACAAAATTAAGTTATGCTTATTACAGATTCCTACAGATTTTTAGTGTGCTGTTTAAAAATTTATATAGAGCCAAAAATGAAGTCAGCCTCATGAATAAACTGATACATTAGTTAATTAACTAATTAAGGATTTTGTGAATAAATTGATGCCATAGTTCTGCTAAGATATCAGGCATATCAATTAGAAATTCAAAATATTCATTCATTCATTAATTCATTGCAATTTATTAAGTCTTACAGTGAAAAATAATTCCAGAATCATGAGAATTATACCTCACGTATCAAAAAAAGAGAAATGGTTATTTTATGATTTGAAAGGATATTTATTCAGACTGTCACCCCCTGCAGAATGGATTTCCTTTTGTTTGTTTTTATTGTTATTAGGTATCCTCAAGTTGACTACAACTCATATAGCAACACTATGAACTACAGGTCTCAACTTTGCCCCAACCTGCACCTTCCCATAGTCTCCATCATGCTCAAGCTCACTGCTGCAGCCACTATGGTAATCCATCTCTTGGAAGGTCTGCCTCTCTCTAACCCTCTACTTTTCCCAACATGAGGTCTTTTTCTAAAGATTGGCCATTCCTGACAATTTAATGCTAACACTATGTGAGAGGAAGTTTTACCATCCTTATTTTGTTTGTTCTCTTGGCAGTGCATGATACATTCTGTACTCTTTGCCAACTTCACAATTCAAAGGCACTCATTCTTGTTTGACCTTCCTTATTCATTGTCCAACTGTATAGGAGTCCAACATACACAGTAAACAAGTAAAAATACTTATAGATGTGTGATATGTCACAAGTTGTATAACAGTTTTAAGTAAAAAAAAAAACAAAAACCCTGTAAATTTTTATGAAAAGTATAGCCTTAACCTCCAATCCTGATGCCACATTCCTTCTCATAGAGTCCAGCCTCCTGGATGATCTTTTCTGCCTCTAGATTGAAAACGTTTGGAGATAGGACAAATCCTTGGCATACACCCTTCCTGATTTTGAACCATGTGGTGTTTCCTTGCTCTGTTCTGACGACTGCCTCCTGGTCTAAGTATAGGTTTCATAAGCACGATCAAGTGTTCTGGGATTTCCATTCTTCTCAGAGTCATCCATGGTTTGTTGTGATCCACACAGTCAAATACCTTTGCATAATCAATGAAACACAGATAGACATTCCTCTGGTATTCTCTGCTTTCAGCTAAGATCCATCAAACATTAGCTGCAATATCCTTAGTGCCACAGCCTCTTTTAAACCCAGCCTGCACTTTTGGCAGGTCTCTGTTGGTGTGCTACTCCAGTCATTTTTGGATAATTTTCAGCAGAATCTTGTTTGCATGTGACATTAATGATATTGTTCAATAATTTCCACACTTCTTTGGGTCACCCTTCTTTGCAATGGGAACAAATATGTATCTCTTCCAGTCAGTGGGCCAAGTGGCTGTCCTCTAGAATTCTTGGCATATCTTGATGAGTGCATCCAGGGTAGCCTCTATTTGTTGAAATATGTCAATTGGTATATCATTACCTTTTCAATCTTTATGTGGAATAGATCATCCACAAGGTTGAACTGTATGAGGAGGAATGAGGTATCTAGATTGGAGGAAGACTCATCAACAGTCTGTGTTATGCAGATGACACAACCCTGCTTGCTGAAACTGAGGAAGACCTGAAGTGCTTGCTGCAGGTCAAGGACTGCAGCCCCCAATATGGATTGAAGTTCAACATTAAGAAAATAAACATTCTTACCACTAGGCTGATTGGCATCATTATGATAGACAGTGAAGAGACTGAGATTATTAACAGGTTTAGTTTGCTTGGTTCCACAATTAACATTCTTGGTTCTAGCAGCCAAGATATTAAAAGACAAACTGCATTGGGAAAGTCTGCTGTCAGGGACCTCTCCAGAGTACTGAAGAGAAGATGTCAGTCTGGAGTCTAAGATGTGCCTGATCCAGGCCATAGTCTTCACAATTACTTGCTATACATTAGAAATCTGTACAATGACTAGGGATGATAAAAGAAGAATTGATGCCTTTGAGCTGTGGTGCTGAATATACCATGAACTGCCAGGAGAACGAACAAGTTCATCCTGGAGAGGGTGAAACCAGGCTGCTCCTTGAAGATAAGGATTCTGAAGCTTTGTCTGACATACTTTGGACATGTTGCAAGGAGGGACCAGTCCTTGGAG